AAAGAAATGGACAATAGCAAGAAAACCGAGCAAGAGTTTCATATTTACCTTAATTTTCTCCAACAATCTAGTATTTTTCCTTAATTTTCTTCATTTCTCTTTGGCCCCGTTTGGAAGATAGCGGATTGAGGATAAATTAGCGGATTGGACTTAATTGAGAGGTTTGACCCGTCAAATCCGCTATTGAGCTTGTTTGGTAAATAACTTATTTGATAAGCTTTTTAGACTCAAAACTCTAATTTAGAAAAAGCTTATTAGAGGAGCTTTTTGGGGATAGAGGATTCACAATCTACAATTTTAATTTAGAACTTTTTAATTTGTATTATTTATTTTACAATCTACATTGGTTTATGATGCTAACAAATAATAATATGTCATACATAGGATTAATTTATCTAGAAAAATGTAAAATTCATAACTTCTTAATCAATTGTTAGTAATTTTTTTTTTAAAAAAATATATATTTATAAATTACCAACTAAAAAATATTAAATGTTTTAATATATTATTATTAAAAGAATACACCCTAAATAATAAAATGTCTTTATTGGTAATTTACAATGTCAAACAACTATAAGCTTTCAGCTATTTACCAAACACTTATTTAAAAACAGCTAATGCAATCCGCTAGTCAAATCAGCTAATACAATCCGCTATCCGCTATCCGCTAATACAATCCGCTATCTGCTATCCGCTATCCGCTGATCGCCAAACAAGGCCTTTTTCTTTTTTTACTTTGTAACAAATTTGATGTTTTAAACTTCAAATTATCTCTAAATTTAATGGTGTTATAAGTTTTGTTAATTTTAGACTTAATTTGATAGTTTTATAACATTTAAGTCCTAAATTGAGAAAAAAAAATCTTTCAGGCCCCGCATTGATAATTTACCTAGCTTTCGGGTCTTTAATTTGATAGTTTTATGACATTTAAGTCCGAATTGAAAAAAAAAATAATCTTTCAGTCCCCGCATTGATAGTTTGCCCATCTTTCGGGTTTTGTATTGATAAAACTCCTAAAATATTATAAATGCCTATGTTGTTTGTATACAAAATACTTGTTTTATAAAGTTATCTGTTTTGTTGATCATATAATTATCTTGGCAATCCATAGTTTATATATTCTTAGATAATTGATCAGTGTTTAACTTATTATCAAATTTATCTTCTTTTATTATGTTTCTAAATGCTTGAAATATTGTACATTTGATTAATTAAATTATAATTTATAATAAATTTATTCGCTTAGGCAACACATATTTTCCAGGGGAAATATTTTTTTTATATATTTATTTAATTATTTAATATTTCGACATATATAATAAGTTGATTAACATGTAATTTTAAAATTTTAGATGCATATATGTAATTGATTACCAAATGACATAAGTTCTAATTATGGTACTTGATTATGTTATTTTTTATTTAGTAATTTTCTTTGGAGATATATTTATAATTAGAATTTTTTTTTTCAACGGCAGACTTTTATAAATGAAACACATAATTATAAGCGGAAAACAACAGGTAACGGTCGGAATAAGCAGTTACACAGCTAAAATCCTTGAGATGACAACCCACAAGGCAGTTTGATCGAAACACGCACAACGCACTCACAAGCTCCCAATGAGAGAATACACCTCCCAACAAGAGAATAAACATTACACACAACTACACACAACTCCCAACAGGAAAATAAAACACTACACACAACAAACAAAACACGAAAAACACATTAATATCATCAACAATAAATACTAGAATAAACCCTCCCCGCCAGCAAACCGACAATCCCAGGCCCTAAGACAGCAGCACTGAAACACGTAACAAGAAACTCCAAACCGAAGCCGGCTAACAAGTACCCGCTCGAAAACCACATACCCTTCCGACAACAATTGTCGCCAGAAAGCTCGGGCTGCTCACCACAAGCCACCCCCCACACACACCGATGACCGCCGCCCCTCCCCAACCAAGACCGAGGCAGCCCAAACGATGGAGCCCACCAATCCCAACACCATAAATCAGTAGGACCGAGGTTTGAGCTTGCAGTGAGACTTCGGCCCCAAACAACTACCAAGGCAGAGCTTGGAACCGCCGACGAGAAGAAGCCTGCGACTAGCCGGAAAAACACCTCACCCATCCATGGCCACCTCGAAGACGGAGAGGCGCCACACCCAAATCAAGAAATAATGATATAATTATATCATTACATTGTTTTAATTCATCAATATCATGATTAATACAATTAATATGCTAATGGAGATTTACTTTTTTTTTTATGATAAATCGTTTATTATAAAGCCCACAATGTATTTTACAAAACTTTATCAATATTTTTTATTCATTAAACTAATATAATTTCGAATATAAATATTCGAAATACTTTTTTATATTTTAAGCATAGTTTTTAAACTCGGTCCGGAAATTGACCTGGGCAGGTGTCCGGGTCACCGGGTCACCGAGTCAATTGTTGAACCGGATAATTAATTTTAAAATTTTTTAAATTATATTTATATATAAAAAAAAATATTTTAAAAATAAAAAATATATAAATACCAAGTCAACTGGGTTGACCCGCCTAGGCCAATGACTCGGGTCGACTAGGTCAAGACAGGGGTTGGCCGGGTTCATTGTTACCCGGTCTAAATAGCCTACCCGGACCAGTTCCGGTTCCGGGTCGGCCGGGTCCCAGATCGACCCGCCGGGTCAGTCCGGGTTGAAAAACAGTGATTTTTTTTTATTTTTTATATTTTTTTTTGGCAAATAAACTTGAATTCAAGTGATCAACTGATCAACGATACAGTTCGAAATAAAGAATAATACGAGAGATAATTCTTCCACAAGAAAGATCCCGTTGAACGAATTGCCCATCGAAAAACAGTGATTTAAGTGCTTCAGATCGGTGACCATAATTAAAGAATAAATATCTACAACCAATGAACAAAATATCATCGAAATCACTTATCAAAATTATAATTCTAAATTCATTTAATTATGTCAACGAATAACTATGAAATTATTTTAAAATCTTATTGAAAAAATATATTGCTGGTAATAAATATATTTAAGTTGAGTTATAATAATAAATGTTAACCACTGATTAAACAAATAATAATCATATTTTACTTGTGAAATATGTTAAATGAAATAAGAGTTAATTATATGTCAAACATAAACGAAATATTTTACCGTTCCTATTGACACTTTAGTGAGTTCGCACTCAACGATTTGTATAACAAATGAGTCAAGCATTAACCTTATTAAACCAAGCTCGATTCTTAATGTTGCTCAAGCTCCACGAGCCGAACATTTTAGGATCCGCTCGGCTCGACAAATAATGCAAGCACTTGAGATCGGCTTGGATTTTACTCAAATTTGGCTTGAAATTTCAATAGAAAAATATTTAATGAGGGGCATTTAAGATAATCTTATGTATATTCGAGTTGCTCAATCGAACGCTCAAACTTATAAACTATATACTCAAGTCTATCTCAAATTTGAATTCAAAGTACTCAAACTCAATCAAATTCAAACTCGATTGGTGAAGCAGACAAGCCACTCGATTCGTTTGCGTCCAAAGTACTCAAGCTCGATCAAATTCAAACTCTATGTAATGAAACTCACGAGCCACTCGATTAATCTGCAATCACACACTTCGGTTGGTTGTTAAAACACCGATATCTCGTCCGGTCCATTAATTTTGAAAGAGACATAACTATTAAATGAAACGAAGTTGCCGCATATAGTAATACGTAATGTAAAATCATCATCATTTGCTGGATGTATTTAATATTTTTCAGCTAAGGTCTTCAATCAAGCTGCCCTCTTAGACTGGTGCAACACTAATGTTACTGAGCCATACGCATGGCTCTTTGATCTCAAGCAACATGCATTTGACAGAACGAATTAAATGAGGTGGGTTATGCTTATTTATCACAAACAATCCTTGTCCCACAATACACACATCTCTGTCTTCATATTTTTTTTCACTTACATTGCATCAGAAACACACACAGTCACACGGACACAAACCAAATAACAAAATAATGAACGAATCAAATCATAACGAACCGTAAGAGTAACATTCTAACCAAAAAGAAAATGAAAACAATAGTTAGAATTCTTTCTGAGCAAATACACACGACCAAGAGACGGTAAACTGAACTTACATTTACATACACACTCGCGCGCTCGGTTTATAAACACGTCGATCAAGATTCTAGCAGCCTCTGCAGATAAAATTTCGAGCTCGGCCCACCAAAGAGGGGAGAGCCTCGGAGTTGCTGCCTCGGGCGAGACATCAATGGCTTCCCTCAAATTCTGTACGATTTCTTTCATTGAGGGTCTTTTTTCTCGGTTCTTGGTGGATGCAACATTTGATTACCTCACACACGACCTCGAGCTCCTCTTCATTGAACGACTTTAAGGTGGGGTCCACCATCTTGCTAATGGTCTTGTCATACAAGTACTGAGCAGCCTGGAAAAAATTTCGACCGATATTTTCTATAAAAACAGGCATATATTTGGGGAAAAAATCAAGTATGAGGATTGAAGATAATAATGTCATCCGCGTAGGAAGTGCCGAAATTATACGCGTACCCTGTTGTTGACGACATCAATTGTGAAAGTGCCAAAATGATTTCATGCTCATTCTTTTCCTTAGATGACAAATACACATCACATATGCTCTCCTCCCTATTCCATATCATTTCTCTCAACATCTTTGCTTGATTCACCGTTTTATCTTCCTCTCAAGATACCACCCATCCACCATAAGCAGTAAGTTACTCCACAAAATTCACGACGCTTCTCATTTTCAAAACTCGTCTTCTGCCCTTGTCTTGCTTTCTTCTTCCAAATTATATAAAGTATCCTGAAACTCCTTCATGGAATCTTGATATAACTGAACATAGGAATTGATTTCCTCAATTGGAGCCGAAGAAAACCAAATATTTAAATTTTCAAGAAAAAGCAAGAGTGCATACAGATTAGATAGTTTGTACTACTTATGCCGTCTTCTGACCTCTCCATTTCAACTTAAGGCACATTATCCCGCCATACCTCCTGGTTCGCAATTTCGAAAGGTCCGTCCACTGCACGAGCTGCCATATATTCCCATCGACGGTTCCCACGTGCACTTGCTCCAGATCGTGCCGCCAAAAGTAGGGCACGCTCTCGAAGCTCTCGTTTGCAAGCAAGATGCTGAACTGAAGCTCTGAGAGCCTGTGCTCGTTAATGTCCGACTGCCTCACGAGCCTACAACCCCATATATGCATCGGTCGACAAACACGAAACAAACCATTCGTAAAGCCCGAGTACCAAGATGCCGTGCGACAATGACGTGTACTTAACTCCAAGTTCTCCACCATCACAGGCGGATGGTCACTTTCGAGAAGATGATGATTGCAGTCGACATCATTATTCAGAGGGCCGGCGTTCATCTGCAAACTGAGAGAAATTCGAGACCCACTTAGTGCCTTGAGCATTCGTCTCAGCTTAAGGAACCTCGCATTGACATCGAAATCAGGATGTTCCTTACCCCAAGAGAGGATTACATGTGAGTCCCACTCCTTGGAAGTAGTGGTCGTGAAAGAGAATGTGTCGGGCACCGCGGGAATAAGGGCAATGAACTTAAAAACGAGAATGTTGGAGGCACAAATTGTAGCTCCTTTAAGCAATATTCTGCTGGTCGAGATGGTCAACCACTTGACCGAATCACTTGCGAGATGGAATTCCTCGAAACCTAAGCAATCATGTAGGGCCAAGTTCGCTAGAGCCAGGCAGCCAAAGGATAAGAGGTCGAAGACTCTCTCGGTAGGATAACAAGCTTCAGATCCAAACTGCTGAGACGAGAGAACAAGAATGTGGTTTGGTGGTGAGACCAAATCCATGGGCCCCAGATGGAGACCGTCTCGATATTCAGGAGGTCGATTTCGATGATACCCCGTTGGTCATCTGGTAATTATACAATACAAAGTGCTTGAGAGCAGGCAATGCCTCCTCGCTTAGCCTAACATTTCTCAACCCACAACAATTAGTAAGGACGAGGCGACTGAGCACAGGGCAACCCGAAGTTATCATCTTCTCGAAAGTGGCGCCATCAACTTGGACCTGTTCGAGGGTGAGCGTGCGCAAACAACGTTTAAGCCGCACGCTCTTGACCGGGCTCAGCCTGCATTTGCGCAGGTGTAATTCTTCGAGGGACTCAGCTAAGAACATTGCCGAGGGCAGGTTGTAATGCGCCAGAGTAGTATATGAAAGAAAGTCGAGTTTGAACGATTTTATATTGGTGAGGGCAGCTAAAATCGGGATCCATTTGTCGAGAAGGGAGACGACCGGTCGTGAGTCGGGGCTCGATAAGTCGAGATGAAGCTTGTGTGTGGAGAGGTTTTGATCGAGGTATCCTTGTAGGGTTCGGTTGACTACCGAGACAAAGTCTTGCTTGAACAGTTTGAGGTTGGAGTGAGTTGATGATCCTATGTGGCGCCATGGTGTGGAGAGGAGATAGAGGATCTTGTGGAGTATGGAGTAGTTTCGATCGTCGACGGGGACAGAGGTTTGTTGTGTGTCGTTGTCGAACCATTGTTCGGAGAATTCGAGGTTGGGGCAGGTTGATCCTATGTGGCGCCATTGTTTGGAGAGGAGAGATGTTCTGGCAGCTTCTTTCTGGGAGAGGAAACAGAGAATATGGTGAGTATAGGTATTGGCAGTTGGGATATTCTGTCCTCCATGCCTGCCCAACCCGAGGTAATTCCCTAAAACATTAGTTACACAGTTGCGGTTAAATATCGAACAGTTTTATTTACTTTTCTCACAAAATTGAAGATACAAATCATTAGTTATTTATTTCACTAAAACATTAGTTATTTATTTCACTTTTCTCACAAAATTGAAAATACAAATCAAAAGAAGTAGACATAAATGTTCCAAAACACCTCTTAAATTAAATAATGTGCACGTGAAAAAAAAAAATATAAAAAAATGTTGGCTATTTGCAATCTTTTTTTTTTTTGTGTGTACAAAAAAGAGGCTACAATAGCCTAATTAACGACCGTACGAGGGTACGACACCCCAACCCTATCATGGTTCAGCCATATGCCGAACTAGCATCATACTCTCTGCATTTTGGGCCTACATTTGCAGTGGGGATAGGGCAACCAACAAATTTCCAACATGAGACTATTCTATGGCTTTGAGTTCATATTGAAAACAACCCACACCACTACATTATGGTTCTTGGTGTTTTCCACGGTTCATATCCATAGATGGTAAAGAAAAAAGACCCATCTGTGGTGATATATACACATAACAATACTGATCCGGGTCGGGCTCAGCCTTGCCTGCCGGGTGGTGTATCCAGCCCGTACCTAGGTACGAGCCGGTTGAGGGTCGGTGATTTTGAACCCCACGACCTGGGCCCGGCCCGAAATTTGGCTATGTCTAGCCACAGTAATGAAAAGTTTACAGCACCTAAACAGTTAGTTTTGAACAACAACAATATAATACTGCACAAGCAGAATCTGAAGTTTGTATACCAAAAGTTCATAAGCTAGTTAGTGAGATTGATGTCCACCATGAATTTGTAGCATTACAGATACATTCCAACAAACAAAACTGAAGTGACAAAGTTCTATAAGCAGCAGCTCACCCGCTATTCAACAAGCCAATGCAAAACCACCAACCAAAAGGATATCTAGTCTGTCAACCTCATATGCACAGCCAAAAACAGAATGAATGAAAAAGACAGGGAAGAAAAACCAGAAATTAACCGCAGGCCACCTGCACAAGAGTTTTATTTCATTCAATTCCTAACTACTCTTCAACAACTTTCAGCATCCAAGCTACTGATGTAAGCATTCTACACATAAAATAAGATTGCTTTAGATGCCATCCGTCCCTTTTTGATTTTGATTATTTGTCTTCTATCTTCAGATCGAGATCAACCAATATGTGGGTCAAATCAAAGACCATATTTTCTCGGCGTTACCAAGTTAGTATATCGTATTATTAATGTAAAGGGTATTTTAGTATTTTACCTTATTAGTGTGTTTTGGAGAGTAATAGTTGTGTTTATTGTTTTAACACTTTTAGTTGTTTTGTCTTCAGTATATATAGTTTGTATTAGGGTTAGGATCTCACTTTTGTCATTCTCATTTTTCGTTCAATATCAGAAGTATCAAGCTTTCCTTTCTTTCTCGTTTTCTCATCTCAATTCTGTAACTCAATATGGTATCATTCGCTGGTTCATGATCGATCCTCGCTTCCGCACATGATTTCTACTCTGATTCTATACAGATCTATCGTTTTTCTTTCGATTTTCTACATATATTGCTCGAAAACTCTCGATTTAGGGTTTTCTCGCAATTTCATTTGAATATCTTGTCGATTTTCATCGATCTTTACATATTTGGTGTTCTTCGTCACCGATCTATAATATATTCACCGATCTGTGCTATATTCACCGATCTGTGCTCACCGATTACCACTGTCGTCGATTCAGATCTAGTTCGCCGTTTCAGATCTCGTTCGCTGCCTCAGACGCTATTAAGACCTCAGACGCTATTCAGATCTCAGATTCACCGACTGTAGTACTATGGCCATCGTTCCTCCTACCGATGACTCATCGTCGCCTTACTTCCTCCATCCGAGTGACAATCCAGGAGCCTTAATTGTTGCTGAACAATTCTCTGGTGAGAACTACGTCTCTTGGTCACGCGCTGTTCTCATGGCACTAAGTGTCAAAAACAAATCCGGATTCATCGATGGTACAATTTCGGTTCCCTCATCTACTTTACATCATGCTCAATATGTTGCATGGGTCCGTGCCAACAACTTAGTTCTATCCTGGCTGTTAAATTCTGTTTCCAAAGATATTAGGCAGTCTTTGCTATTTTTTACCTCTGCCAAAGATGTTTGGGATGAACTTAAGTCTAGGTACGCCCTCAGTAGTGGTCCTAGAGTGTTTCAATTGGAAAAATCACTCAGCTCTATGGATCAAGGTGCTTTGACTGTCACTCAGTACTATAATTCTTTCAAAACTATCTGGGATGAGTATGTAACCTATAGACCAATTTTTCATTGTACTTGTGGAGCTTTTAACTCTTGCACCTGCAATATCTTTGACTCTACGTTGTCTGCTCAACAACAAGATGCTGTGATGAAATTTCTCATTGGCTTAAACGATTCATATTCCTCTCTCAGGAGTCATTTCTTGTTATCTAACCTCTTACCCCCATTGTCTAAAGTAATACCCTACTGCTTCAAGAGGAAAGTCAAAGAACACTTCAAAATCCTTCTAAAACTGTTGATTCCATTGCCATGCTTGCAAAAACAGTGAAACCACCATACAAATCATATCACACTTCATCGCAGCATCATAACTCCACTCAACCTTCTCAGTCTATTTTACCACCCAAAAAGAAACAAAAATGTGATCACTGTGGTTACAATCATCCCACTGACAGATGTTACCAACTGATAGGCTATCCTGAAAATTGGATAGGTCCTAGGGGTCCTAGAATTCACCCTGACAAAATGACTCCTAAGGCAAATGTTACTTCCACCACTGCTAATTTCACTCCTACTTCATCTTCTATGACTGACCAATTATATCATGAGTTTCTGGATTTCAAAAAGTTTTCTGAGCAGAAACAGGGAACAGGATCTTCTACCAATCCTGTTGCTGCTACTGCTCATTCTGTTACTCCAACTGACATTAACATTGGTAAGACAAATCATACTATTTGTTTCTCTCAAACTAATTTTACTAAAAACACCTGGATCCTGGATACAGTAGCAACTGACCATATGGTCTGTGATTTGTCCTTGTTTTCAAAACCACCTACTCCTATTTTTGTTAAGATAAACCTTCCAAATGGAGCTTACACTGAGGCTAGCCATGTGGGACAGATCAATCTGGGACCTAATCGTGTGCTCCTCAATGTTCTCTATGTTCCAAATTTTTCTTTCAATCTAATATCCATTTCAAAATTATCTGCCTCAAATAATTGCATAGTCAAATTTGTTTCTTCTTATTGTGTCATACAGGACCTGAACAGCAAAATAATTGGTTTTGCTGAGGTCAAAGCTGGACTTTATCATCTTTCTACTGATTTTCTTACAAATGTAAATGCAACAATGTCTGTTGCATCTATTTCTTCAAATGTTTCTTTACCTATTACAAACCATGTATCCAATGTTTCATCCACTGTATCTCATGACATATGTCATTACAGATTGGGACACTTATCATATCATAAACTTGATACTTTATGTGTATGCACTGGTTCTTGTAAATCTAATGCTGATAAACCATGTGATCTCTGTCAGTTTTCCAGACAGAAAAGGTTACCTTTTTCACAAAGTACTTCTATTGCATCTAATATTTCTGATCTCATACATTGTGATTTATGGGGCCCTTTTTCCACCCCTTCTTATGCTGGACACAGATACTTTCTCACTATTGTTGATGATTACTCTAGAGTCACATGGATTTATCCTCTTTGCCAAAAGTCTGACACTAAATCATCATTAGTCCATTTTTCCAATTTAGTGAAAACTCAATTTCATAAACATATCAAAACTATTAGGTCAGACAATGGTACTGAATTTCTCTTGCATGATTTTTACAAAGACAATGGAATTTTACATGAAACAAGTTGTGTTGAAACACCTCAACAAAATGGGAGAGTTGAGAGAAAACATCAACATTTGTTACAAGTTGCTAGAGCACTTATGTTTCATGGTCATCTACCTTTAATGTTTTGGATAGATTGCATCCAAACTGCTGCTCATATCATTAATAGAATTCCTTCAAAACTTTTACAAAACCTCTCCCCCTTTCAAAAACTTTTCAATAAATCCCCATCTTTGGAGCATCTCAGAGTAATTGGTTCTCTATGCTATTCATCCACATTGCATTCAAACAGACATAAATTTGCCCCAAGGTCTTCAAAATGCATACTTCTTGGCTATCTCATTGGTTGTAAAGGCTATAAGCTCTACAACCTGGACACCAAGCAAACATTAATTTCCAGAAATGTTATTTTCTTTGAAGATGTTATCCCTTTCAAATTTCCTAACAAATCCTCTCTGGACTGTTTATTTCCTCAACCACCAGATTT